TCCTCCCCCCTCCTTTCCCCTTCCCCCCCTCGAACCAAGAACTAGAACTAACACCAAAACACATCCCCAACCTCACACAGAGGTTAACACCTGAATAATGAAAACAAAACAAACGAGAAACCTTACAAAAAAGGATTTCTCTTATCCAGGTGATGTAGAACAACAGAGGAGCAAGAGACTCCAATCATCCCCCCCCGACCCTCCAAAAAAAAAGAAAAAAAAATGTTTGCAGGTGGAACAGTCAAAGTTTAAAAGACCTTAGGTGCACACGGCAGCTTTCAAAAACGTGTATAACTTCAACACATTCAGGAGCGGTGTTTTGGACTTAATCTCTTCCAGCGTTTTTGCCCAGCGAGGTAAGTATCAGCCGCTTCTGGGTGTGTGCGCAGCTCCGTTGGTAAGTCAAGATGAAGCTTTTGCAGCAGTGATGTTCCAGATAATAAATCAGTTGCCGTGAGCGTTTCATTATTCTTGCGAACCGTCAGTCTGCTCGGTGGTGACCAGCGATAGGTTATCTTAGCTTCTTGTAAGCGTTTGGTAATGAGCTTCATGTCCCTGCGACGTTGCAAAGTCTCTGGGGACAAGTCTTGGAAGACTTGAATTTTTTTGCCTTCATGAACAAACAGATCGCTATTTGATGCTTCTTTAAGTATTTTGTTCCGGGTACGATAGTCTGGGAATCTGGCCACTATATCTCTTGTAAGATTAGAGGTGCCTGGTTTGCGTGCACCCAGTCTATAGGCGCGTTCAATAAGCGGCGCAATTCCCTCCTCCAGATTTAAAATGGATGCCAACCACGTTGCTAGAAAAATGGGAAGATCAGTTTCTCCTTCGCAGGACTCGGCAAAGCCTCTAAATTTTAGGTTGTGAAAACGCGAGGCGTTATCAAGTTCCATAATCTTTGATCTGGCCCATGTTTCGCTAGTTTGTAGGTCTTGAACTTCATTTTGTAGAGTTATACTTTGTTCGAGCACCGTTTCGGCCGTTTGAGAGATGGCCTGAACGGTTTCAGTAAGGTCTTGCAATTGGTCTGCCATCGGTTTAAGTAGATTTTCTACCCGATGCGCAAATCGGTCTTCTAAGTTGTCTAAAAGAGTAATTACCTCTGGCGTGAGTTGTAAAGCTTCGTCCTCCGTGTCGGAAGCCGCGGCAGCCGCCATTTTGGCAGATAAACGGGCTTCTGAAGAGCGGGAGTTTTCCTTGGCTGCCCTCGGAAAATATGCCTTTACCGATGCTGTAGAGGCGTTTGAGGTTTTAGATCTGCCAGTAGTAAGTTTACCCATCTTTGGATTGAGGAATAAAGACCAGTTCCACGTTTAAAATAGCTTTTTTAGAGAGTCAGAGCGGGAGCCGAAGTCTCAGACGTCCATACGCTACCAGCGCGACGCCACGCCCCCCGCTTATGTTTATTTCTGCAAGCAGAGACTGCCAAGAAATCTCACTTCAAGTTTTAAAGACCTGTCTGAATAACATAAACTGTTACTTGTTTGTGACAAATTATCTGCTGCTTATTTTGTTACTTGTTCACCTCATAAGTCCTAAACCTGATTCCTACCTGACCATTTCCCCTTAAAGTGAAATAAAACACTTTGTTAGCTTTGATTTACCATCAGCCTCAGATTTCAGTCCCTCCTCTCAGTTCCCTAAGCTGGGTCAGCAATTCCCAATATACATTCAAATGAGTAGGTGGGACAGTCAGAGAAAAATGAATAAGAAAGGAAAAGGGGCTGCTCAGCTAAAAACAATATAAAGGGAAATCCTATGAGGAAGGGTGAAATTGTCATAGAACCTCTCTCAGCAGCAGCAGAGAGACAATTGAGGGAAGGATGCCCTGGAAAAGGCAGGAAACAGCATGGGGGAGGGGGATGGAGCTCCTTTGGGCATCCTGAGCTTCAAAAAAAATCTGTAGCAGGCTTATGAGTGTGCAGTATCCATGTGTTGTACGCAGAGTTTATGAAACACTTTATACTCTGCCACTGACTAACAGTTTGAACTTAGTATGTACACTCAGCACTTCCATAATACATATGTTAAGTGTCATTTATTATTCTAACATCATGAATGTATTCAGGTATTAACTTTGGTTCATTTGTGACTGTTGTTTGGATGCATGCTGGGAAGGTAAAATGCTGAAAGAACAAAATGTTAACTTGCTATTTTTGCTGAGGCCTATGGCCTTGGCAGGCCAGCTATAACTGCACATGTCTCAAGGCAACTTCTAGATGGATTCCATCTGCACCTGCACATTCCAGGTCTCTTGGGGCGGGATTATCATGTTGTTAGCCAAATTACCTTATTTTATTAAGAAGCTTGAGGGAATTATGATTATTAAATGGAAATAGGAATTAAATATAGGACCATAACCTATGTATACAGGAGTCAGAATTCCCAGTGCCCAGGAATAACAGAGACTGAGTAGCTAAAATAATGACTTCTTTACTAACGATTCTTTTTTAAAAAAATTATTAGGATATAATAATAAGTAAAATTATACGTCATATAACAAACTATTCATATCCTTTTATCCAAATATCTCCCCCCCTTATGACTTCCCACAGTGCTCAAACCTCTATTACTTTCTTGAATTTTTTCTCCTTTTCCAATTCATTAACAACATAATTCTTTCGGATAACGTATCTTTTTATCTGTTTATCTATGATAGGTACACTTAGCACTTCCATAATACATGGAACTTTGGTTCATCTGTGACTGTTGTTTGGATGCATGCTGGGAAGGTAAAATGCTGAAAGAACAAAATGTTAACTTGCTATTTTTGCTGAGGCCTATGGCCTTGGCAGGCCAGCTATAACTGCACATGTCTCTGGCTAAACAAAGAACAATGGCACCTTGTAAACCATATCAGCTATACAGATACTTTTAGAATTTTACAGTCTAAGAGAAAGAAACACTTATTGTTCAGCTAAAAGAAAAAACTTTACTTGGGAAAGCCCAGCCTAAAAGGTTTTCCGCCAATCAGAGACCTGTTAGGTCAGAGTGCTGATGTTTGATGGAACCAATAATCTTGTTTTATTTGTGTGTGTCATCTTGAGTATAAAATCCTATGTCACCCATTATAACACTTGAAGAGTCTGTTGGTATTCAGGGATCCAAAACCTTGAGATCTGTACTCTTCCTTTATTAATTAATAAATATTCTAGTGAATTCCTCTCTACAGGACTGTGTCGTGTGTTTGTCAAATTGGGTTGGGAAACACAACCAGAGGCACCCTTTGTGTCTTGCACATGTGTTACTGCACAGGCACCACAATGATGAACTCTACTTAAAGCCTCCGGAGAACCGCTGCCATTCAGAGCAGACAATACTAGCCTAGAAGGGCCAGTACAGGGCAGGTTCATGTGCTGGCAAAGCACATTATGTGCTCTGCTGATACAACTAGACCTATCAGAGGCCCAACTACCATCCAGGACTGGGTTTTGGCTAGCTAACCAGAAAACTGTACTGACTGGATAGTGGTAATAGGAACATAACCACAGAAACTACCACTTTCACAAACCAACCAGCTACCCTGACAATATAGCTGACATCCATGACAAATAAGGAATAGCAGAAGTTTTAGAACATAAAGCAAGGAAACAGTAAAGCTATTATATCCCAACCAGTACATAACTCACGGCATTGACAATGAATTGGACTGAGGTACACTTTTTAAGCATCTGTATGAAGCAAAGAATAACCATTCTTTTTTCTAAAACGATAAAAACCGATTTGATACATACCTCTTGTGGTGCTTTAAAAACAAATTGCCTTTCAGATGGAATCAGCTTCTCTCTTCTCACCTCGGACTGTGCAATGCTTGAAAGAACTTGATTACTGGGATTGGAAACCCCCGAAGCTAAGACAAAAAGGAAACAGATCAGCCAAACCATTTAAAATGTAACATATATGCTGGAGACAATTAAAATAGGGAAATATATATTTGCATGTCAATTCAGTGTAGGCTGTTCTATCTCTACAAGTACATATGCACTACAAACCAGTTTACTCATAATGCCCCTCCCCCCAGTCACGGAGCCCTTCGTTCTGTGAGGGGGCCGTGTGTTTACCAACAGACACAGAGAACGAGTGCACCAAGTTATTACTGTCCAGATTATCTGCTTAGATTAACAGAAGTAAGCGCAAACGTGAAGAATTTACTAAACTAGGGGTTGCTGCAAAGGTTACAAGACAACTTATCCTTTGAACGTTTGAATGTGCTATATATGCACATTATCAGTTCATTTTTGTACATTGAAACAGAGAAATAGGATCTTGCCTGCACGAGAGGCTGTTCTTATGTTAGCAGGGCCAGCCCAGCCACCCTGTACTCTAGCTCTTTGTCTTTTATCTTCCATAATTCTTCACAGAATCTTCCAGGCTTTATAACAGATTTAATGTTCTTTCCTGTTACAAACACAAGGTCAAAGTACTTAAAGCTGGGTTCAACCTTTAATCCACTACTGCCCCCAAGTACCTATTATCATCAATCCCCCCAATTAATTAAAATATTTATATGCCACTTTTCCCATCAACCATGGTGGCTTATCCAAGTGTCATTTTTTCCTTGTAACAAGTAATTAAAATTAAAAAGTGAAGCAAAACACAGCTATACAACCTTCTTTCAAAAACCATAACATCCTTATATAGTTAACTACAAATGGCTCACCTAAGAAGATCAGCCTTACATTTCTTACAGAAGGCAGACAGCAGGATCCCCTTTGCACCTCCCTGGGGAAGACATTACAATGCAACTGTAAAGCAGAGAAACCCTGCTAAGGTCAGCTTGAAGGGTTCGACCAGGAGGCAACCATGGGAGGGTCTGAGGTGGCGACCAAGCTCAAACAAGCACACTAGTAAAAAAATAGGACATAATTGGTGGGGGGGGAGCAACATTTATATACATACAACACAGAGATGAAGCATACATGGCCAGTTTGGAGTAGTGGTTTGGTGGAGAGCCCGTTTAGTGTAGTGGTTAAGAGCAGTGGACGCTAATCTGGAAAACCGGGTTTGATTCCCCACTTCTACAGCCAGCTGGGAGACCTTGGGTCAGTCACGATTCTCTGAGAGTTCTCTCAGCTCCACCTACCTCACAGGATGTCTGTTGTGGAGAGAGGAAGGGAAATAGATTGTAAACTGCTCTGAGACTCCAAGTGAAGGACGGGGTATAAATCCAACTCTTCTTCTTCTTACAGTTACCGAATTAGGAAACTAGATAAATATATAAACATAAGCCTGAAATGTACCTAGAAAAGCAAGTTACCTTGTATGAAATGTTCTTTTTATGCCCTGTTCTTTTTAGAATGTTTTTTTAATGTAGTTGTTCACCAACTCAGTGACCAACATTCAATGACACATATGATTCCTATCAGTCAGCTGCTTAATGTTAGGCTTGATTCCTATTTAATGTGTACCTATGTTTATGGGCTTGCTAGAAAAACCTGGGATTTTATCCTCAGAATGGGGCAAAGCAGTTTACTCCATTGATTGCCTAAAGCCAGTGCAAGTCCCCCACCATGATTTGTAGATGGTTTCCTGGAGGAACATAAGGGCCCCATTAAGAATCACTAAGTTAAGCGATTTAGACACATTAAAGTACCTGCAACTTCTAGAGACCTACTGCTGTGCAACATTTAAGAACACCACCACGAGCCCTCAGGGGAAACCTCAAAACATCCGCGAGCCTCTGGCAACGTTGTCTTAACCTCTCTCCAGCCCTAATCGCCACACATTCGAAGGCAGCACAAGAAGGAAGGGAGAACGAAGGCGAAAAGTAAGGCCGGAGTCCCATGCCCATTTGGGGCTTGTAGCTGAGTAGACATCCGCAGAGCTGGGCTATACATTTAAACAGACAACCCAACTGGGGGGCGGACGAATACAAATGTGGTTCTTCGTTAAACAAGGGAAAGGGTGTGCGTGTGCTGTGGACACGCAGGGGGGATCTCCCCCAAGAACGCAGAAACGAGAAAGGCTCGCACTGAAGACTGCCCATATAACAGCAACGTCACATTCACTCACCAATCTCCAATTGCCACCGCTCCTCCCTCGTCCCCTCAGCGCCACACTCACCCCCGACACCCTCTGCAACTACTAAACTCACCCAGCAACGAAGAGCGCCTAAACTCCGCAGCCGGCCTTCAGGGACTGCGCACGCAACTTCAGACTCCGCCCCGGCGTCCTGGACGAATCGGGACGGGCCAGGAGTGCTGACCAGGGGAAGCACCGCCCCCTGCCGCCTGACTCCGGCCACCAGCCGTCTAAACCGGTGCGCAAGGTGAGGTCGACTGGGGCACTGCGTCTCCAGCAACAACGTCAAAAGGAACGCTCGGCGGCTCTGTGCGGGACCGATGTTCATTCTCGTCAATGTGTTCCTGCACTTTTAAATGGCTGGTTTTAGTACTATAAGTGGTTTAGACTTCATGGTAGTTGTTGTAAGCCGTCTTGAAATGTCTTGATTGAGACGAAAATGAAAACCTGTAATGTCACTAAACGAGCCCGGAGCTGGAATCTGTGGATCGGAACTCGGAGTCAAGTCCCTCCGTGGGCAGATAAGCTTGTGGAGGTAAGTAGATCAGAATGTACTTATATCCGGATTTTCTTCATAGTACATCCCGTTTGGATAAATGGAGTTTACTGCCACACCAAGGGATGTACTAAAAGGAATGATATTGGACAAGAATCCATGATCGACAACATTTTATAAGCTCTCGTGGTGTAGGGGATGTGCTAAAGTTAATGACAAAAATGCCCAGTGGGATTAATAAGAGGTGCTTGAAAGCTTATTAACATAACAGGAGCTATGAGAGTCAATTGACTTGCAGGGGTTCCATTGAAACACATTACAGTACAGAAAAGTTGAAATAAAAATGCAAAGTGGCTTTGGAGAAACCCGCTTTGGGCCTGGAATGACAACCCCTAGAGTGGAATATTGTCCCTGGAACCAGATAAACTGCTGTGGGACTGGTATTTGTGGCTCCCATTGCATCCAGTGAGCCTCCTTATTCTGGTACTCATGATGTTTTGTCTTCACATATATCGTAAAACATCATCATGTGACATGTTAATTTGCTGTTCAGCCTCTGTCTATAAGTTTGAACTCTTACCTTCCATTCCAACGTATTTGGAAAAGAGTGCATGCACACGAAAGCTCATACCTTGAATAAACCTTCGTTGGTCTTAAAGGTGCCACTGGGTTCAAACTTTGTTATACAGGGAAGAAGACATCCTACCTTCCCTTGAGTTAATTTGCTGTTTGCTTTGTGTTACTGGGGCATGATTTGTTAGGACTTGCCTTTGTTCAGAGTGCCTTTCTGAAGGGCACTGAAGATCCTGTCTCTGCAAATGTTTGTATGTTCATAGCAATTAAGATTCAGTTATACCTGTGGTTGTAAAATGTTTGGGTTTGTGATAAATGCTGCCTTGAATGTTTTCTTTTTGAAGCAATTTCATAATTGCTTAAAAGGCACAATGGTGCTGTCATTTATTGACTTGAATAACCCAGGGTTCTGCTGGGTTACACATGGTTCTAGCCTTAACTCCAGTGAAGTCATAGCTCTGGTTCCTTATTCCTGTCACATGACTTGTATCTGACACTGATGTTAACACACTTTGACCTTTCTAAACTCAGGTCTACTCAGTTCAAAGACCACTGCTTTATAGTATCCTGAAGGGGGGGCAGGGAGAACCAGCTTTTGGAAGAAATGCACATCCTCCAAGGCCATGGTATAAGCTTTTAAGATAGGGTCTGTGAGACCCAGGTTCAGATCTCCATCTTGAAATGGAAGCTCACTAGGTGGTTTTGGACCAGTCACATACTTTCAGCCTAACCTACCTCCCAGGCTTATTGTACGGATAAAATGGAAGATTTGTATTCACTTACTGTGAAGCTTCCTTCAAGTACAAAAGGATATCATGCCCAGAGCCAAAGAAGAATAAGGATGCCAGGAAAATCTTGGACCTCAAATGGCTAAACAATTGCATCAGGACTAGAATGTTCAGGATGAAAAGTCTGAACTCCACTCTGGCAGATGTTCAAGCAAAGGATTTCCTGGCATCCATCAATCTATAGGAGGACCATTTACACATCCCAATTCAAGAGGCTCACTACAGGTTCCTACGCTTTGCGTATGATGGGAAGCACTTCAGTACCAGTGTTGCCTTTCTGCCTGAAGTCATTCCCAAGAAGGTTCAACAAGTTTATGGTGGCCATTGTACCATACCTGAGACTTCAGGGAGTGTGGCTGTCACCATCTCTAGATGACATCCTTGTCAGGGCCCCTTCTTACCAGCAGAGCGGGGAAGCATTAGAGATGGTGGTGACTTTTTTTTTTTAGGGACCATGCCTTCGTGGTCAACATAGAGAAGGGCACTCTAAATGCCTCTCAATCATGGGTACATCTGGGGGTGCAGATAGGCACTTGGGAGAGATAACATACAACTTCTAACCATAGACAGGCTGAAAAAATGCAAGATAGAGGGTATGGTACTGGCCAAGCTACTGAGCATGGTGGTGTCAAGCCATGAAGTTCTTCAGTGGTCAAGGTTCCATGTCGGACCTCTACAGACATTTTCCCTTACCTTACCAGGATGTGGTGGCCAGTTAGGGCTACAAGCTGGTACAGTTGCCAAAACAACTTCAGCATCAGTGCAGTGGTGGCTGGAACCCTTTTTGTTTCCAATGGGGATCCCCGATCTGAAATCTAGAGAGGATGGTGATGACCACAGATGCAAGTCTGCCAGGGTAGAGAACCCACTCTCAAGGGACAATGACACAAGGGGTTTGGTCTCAGGAAGAGACCTCACTGAGTATAAAATTTTTAGAACTCAGAGCCACCAGACAGAAGGCAGAATTGGTGTTGATACCATACTTTTGGCCACCAAGAGCTTAATTTCAGGATCTGAAGAGATTGTTGATCCATGGTGCCTACCACTGGGAAAGGACTTATTGACACTAGGATTGGCACAACATCCTCTCCCAGCCCTCCTAAACCTAACAGCCAGGAGGTCGAGTGGAAACAGCTAGAAGAGTTGATTTACCCTGACAGGGTGAGAGACACCGTATTAGTTTTCTAGGAAGAGCTCCACAAATAGGGTATATAACACAACCTGTTGGGTCCTTCACTCTTGGTGTTCAGAACATGATTGGGAACCATTAAATGCATCAATTAGAGGCGTCTTAGCTTTCTCCAAGATGGTTTGGATAGAGGGCTAAGCGTGAGTACATTAAAGTGACAGGTGGCAGCCATATTGGCAGTGATAGGGGTAGGAAGGGAAGTCCCTTCAATTGCCATCCACACATTAAGAGATTCCTAAAGGGTTACTACATGGTCAAAACCGCCACAAGTGCAGAGGTTTCTAACTTGGAACCTACATAGGGTCCTGAGAGCATTGTGTAGAAAACCTTTGAACCCATGGAGTCTCAAGGAATTAACATTCAAGGCCTTGTTTTAGCAGGCATAATATCAACTAGGCAGGTGTCTGAATTGAGGACTCTGTCAGTTGACAGGGAACTTCATGTCTTCCACAATGATAGGGCGATGTTATGTTCGGATCAAGCTTTCGTTCCCAAAGTTAATCCAGTTCCTTTGCAAGTCAGAGATCATTGTCTTACCTTCCTTTGTCCCAATCATAGGCATGACAAGGAAAGGGAATGGCATTGCCTAGATATACTTAGGGTATTCAGTTTTTACATTGACAGGCCAAGTAGTGGCATGATTCAGATACCCTATTTGTTTCCTTTAGAATATTTTCCTTAGGTCAACTGGTATTGCCTTTTATCTTGAGTAAGCGGTTTTAGGGGTGACATCATTGTTGCATGCAAGGCTCAGGGGCTGAATCCACCCAAAGGTGTTGCAACATATTCTCTGTGGGGGGGTGCTACGTCATCAGCTTCCAGATCATTTCCCATCCTTGGGAGACGATAGGTACAGTGGCCAATTGGAAGTCTGTGCACTCTATAGAGTAGAGTGCTAGAGAGTAGAGAAGCTGACCTTGGCTGTGGCGGCCTTTCTTTGGGGTGTGCTGCAGCACACTCTATAGCTAGAAGATGGATTTCTCACCCTGGGGCACACTGATATTTTATGTCCCAAGAGTAAGGACTGCCTAACTCCCAGGACCACCAGAGAATGGAAGATTTGCATTCACTTACCGTAAAGCTTCCTTCTCTGTGGTCCGGGAGTGGGGCGGTCCTACCCACCCAGTTTTGGGGGGCAGCTTCTGGAGGTTATTTTGGAGGAACATTTATGAAGTTTCTCTGAGACGCTAAAAGAAAAAATTGTGAGTTCTTGGGTGAGTGAGCAACAGAAGGTTTCAACCTTGGTCTACACCCGCTGGAGCGGCATAAAAGTTACAAGGCTGGTGGCCCCGAAAATCGAGTTTCACTATGATGGGGAGAAGTGTTTTTTCTTTTCCTTAGTGTGATGTCAGGGGATGCGTGGCTTGGAGACGACTGGGATGTTCCCAGGGGACAGGCCCCTCCCCTTCCTGGATTGATCTGAGGAAACTGACCCTGTTCCAGATGAGGAGCCTATTCCCAAGAGTAAGGAGTGCCCCACTCCCAGGACCACTGGAGAAAGGAGGACAGGAGAAGTTGTCCACTGTAGAGAAAGACGTAGTTTTCCTAGACAGAGGCCGCAGGACAGGGAGGAGGAGAGGAGAATAATGTAAGCTGCTTTGGTCTCCACTGTGGAGAAAGATGAGATATATATTAAGTAGATAAAAATATAGCTGAAGAGTGGAGGCATATAAAGGTTAGGTTGGTGAAGGCTGAGAAAGTGGAAAGTGTGGGGAGGGGGAAACAGGGAAAAGCAAGGTACCCCTCCCCCAAGTCCTTGAAGGTTACCTGCCTTGCAAGTGGACCTGGCCAAGTGGCTAATACCACACAAGTAGGCCACAGTTTTCCTAGGCAGAGGCTGCCGGAGATGGGGAGAGGGAAAGCGTAGGACAGAAGGGCAGATAAAGGTAGATTGGCTGTTGGATGGGAAGGAGTTAGGGTTGCCAACTCCAGGTTAGGAAATCCATGGAGATTCAGGGGCTGGAGCCAGGGGAGGGTGGGCTTGAGGAGGGGAAGGACTACAGAGTGGGGGTATCATGCCGTAGACTTCACCCTCCAAAGCAACCATTTCCTCCATGGGAACTAGGGTTGCCAA